ACGGATCGACGCCTAGAAGGTAAGATTCGAACTCCTTGCAAGCTCCTGAGTTCATGCATACCATTCGTGAGACTTGAAACCTTCGAAAACCTCGAGAATCCTAACCCCAGTTTTCATGCACTGTTCATGCACACGTGATCGTGAAGTTTTTAGGAGTTTTTAAGATCACATGGAGCTTTAGGAGGTCATCACAAAGCTCGGGGAATAAAGTTGGAAGGAATTGGACGTCGGGATCGTGAGTTGCAGGTTTGGCCGGAATATCGTGGATTTTTCCGGCGTGATTCCGTTGGTTTTAGGGCTTCAAGGTGGTAAAGTTTTGTTCTACTCTTTGTAAGCTTCAATTTGGTACCAATTTCATGGAATTTGGTTGAGAAATGAAGAAGATATGAAGTTTTGAAAAATTTTCCAGTTTCCGGCAACACAGACGGCTGTGGCCGGCGAGACTCACCAGAGAAGACAAGGGAATATTCCGTTAAGTTAATGGAATATTCTTAACGGCGTCAGGTCAGTTTTAATGGAATCTGTTAGGGTTTAACAGAATATTCCTGACGACGTTAACTGACGTCGTCAATGTGCTTGGCACGTGGCCGCATGTGGGAGGAGCGTTTGGCCGTGCCTTGGCCGGCGTGTAGGGGCGCGTGAGACGTCAGAAAATTATTTTAAAAATATGGGAATGTTCGTGAGGTTGAGTAGATCACGTTGGTGTATTCACACACCTCATTTGAGCTTTGTATGAGAAGTTATTACCTAGTTTTGGTTATGTGCTTTAAATTAACATTTTTATAGTTGTTTCGCATATAGGTGAGACCTATCTCGAGGACGAGCGCAGTCACTCGAGGTAGGGGGTTACAACCTTTCCACATACCAGTGAGTGGGCTTTTGGTTTTCCGTATATACCTATATACTTGTGGTTTTTCCCAGAAAATGAAATGGAATGTTTATATGTTCTAAATGTCATGCATTGCGTTTGCCTATTTATTTATGCATCAGTAGTTGCATATATGTATGTTTGGTGATACGGACGCAAAAGTAAGTGCCAGGTAAGTTATGGTTTATGATTGTGATTAGTAGTTATGTGAGATGCATAGATAGCTCATAACCTGCACCCTCAGTGTTAGTGCTCCCGCCCAAAGTAGGGCACGGTCCTTCACGTGATGTTCACCTCCCGCACCACACGCTCATCTTGGATCCAAGTTAGGTGCACAGTCCTGTCGTACAGACCACTTTAGGTGGTTCCGACTCATAAGTGACCCACGATTATTCGCCCATTCTTCACGTGATCGTAGCACTTGAGCGTATTTATTTACACCCAGTCATGCGTACAGACCACTATAGGTGGTTCCAACTCGTGTGCAGGTATAGTTAGTGAGTTGGGGTTTTGAGCTCTAGATTCAGCCGTACAGGTCACATTAGGTGACTTCGGCTGACATGTTATTTGCATTGTTTGATATTACCTGGGTTACTTACATTTTATGTGGAGGCATTCGACATGGCATATTTCTGAGCATATTTTCGATATATGTGTATTTTCTATTTTCTGGGAAACTATACATGTTTTACGGTGAGGGGTTAGAACTTTTGATAATTAAATGATTTTGAAAAGCTTTGTAGATATCTGACAGATTATCACCAGTGTAGGACCACTTCTAGATGTATTTAGTTAGTGTTGTTCCTCTGGACTGTACTAGGCTTTCTATGCTTTGAATATTGTTTTTCACCCTTACACTTGCACTTGTTTGTTAACTACTCTGTTTTGTAGTTTGGTTTTTATTTGTTCATACTTTTATTATTATCTTAGCTTCCACACGGTGCACATGGCTACGCCACCCTCACATGACGGCCAACATGCCCTGATTTCGGTAGGGGTGTGTCAAAATCGGTTCAATTCTGGGTATAGGTTTGGGACGGATATACCAATAACCATAATCAAACCTTAAATTGAAAAATTTACTCGACGGTTACCCATAACTGTAAAATACCCAAAAATTAATCCCGAAACCAAACCATTCGGATCGGTTACCTATGGTGATCCGGTTTGAAAGGTTAAATTGCCATAGTGCTATGACATATGAGGACTGCCAAAGTGAGAATATTGGCTAGTTGTCATCAAACAACCCTTCCACATGTGTCTTTTGTCTAATATATTGTTGGTTTAACCATTAGTAGTTTGAACTAGAGATGCAAACTTGAATGTGTTATACGTTGTTGCATATTAAGAGAATCTCGGGGTAAGTCCAGCATGGGATAACATGTATTTTTTTGTTCAACATTTAGAGGGGTTGTATTGTTAGGTTACATGAATCGTACTTAGCCAAGAATATGGATTATGTAATACATTAACTTCACTATCTTAGTGCTAATGTTAATGAAGCTAATGTTGATTTATTTTTTGTTTGTAATAGATGATTTGAAAATTAGTTTTCAGGAATTAGGTCAAAATTAGTTGTATTACAGGAATTAGGCCGAAATTGGTTGTATTACAGTATCTGTGCGAGCTTGTGAGCCAGCTGTGATCGAAAATGACTTCTATATTTAAAAATAAAGGTGGCCACATTTTTGCAATTGAGTTTAAGCTTGATTCAATTTATTTATACTAAAATATAATAGACAGCGCCACAATTTTTAAAGTTTTGTTGATCTTGCTTGTACAGGTGAGGAATCTCTTCCCTCCTAATTGTTCTCCATTTCCATTCCCTCCTATTTGAACGGATACGGTTTATCCATGTCAACATCTTATATTGATTTTTTTTATAAAGAAAATAAGACAAAAAACAATATGTGAGAGGAGGGGAGGGAATCCTCCTCTTGCTTTTACACCCATAAAGCAATTTGTAAGAAATCAGCCATCAAAATATCAAAGGAAGTGTTATTAACACTCCAAAAATCTCATTTTATACTCCTAACAAGTGTATTTTTCTTTCCAAATATAGAAAGTTTGGAGTGTAGAATAAGATTTTTGGAGTGCCAATAACAATTCCCAACATCAATTGTGCTCATCTTTCACTGTACACATGTCCACGCAGTCAATAGTCTTTGTCGGAAGTGATACACAAAAAGGGGTTGTATTTGTGCTTACCTTTTTAAGCACAAAACACCCAATTGTGCGCTATCAGCAAAGGACACGTCCATAGAGAGCCCACATGGAATAGTAGTTGTTGCACTGTTACTATTGTTATATGGGCACATATGTTGGTGCTCTTTGGCGTCATAGGGCACAAATAACTTATTGTGCACAGTGGCCATATTTTTTGCAATGCCAATTTTAATTCTTAAAAATAAATAAATAACAATAAATATAAATATAAATAAATAAACAAGAGTATCCTCATCTTTAAACGCTACTCAAATATGCTCTGGGGTTTGGGTCAATCAATCTGCCACAAAACTTGAGATGTAAGTAACTTCTTACAAGATAGTAGGTAAAGTAGCTGCTTGGTATTGGACTGGCTAATAAGTAACACAGTTACACAGCGGATAAACATGATACCCAAACAAGGTACCAGATATTCGCTCAGCCAGGGGCGATGCGGAAAACAGCTACGACTTCATTAACAAATACGACTTCATTTGCAGACTTGGATGGAAGAAATCCAAATCTTGGCATCTCATATTCCATTAATTTAAGGGAAACCACAACTTCCCGTGCTGTAGGATAGTCACGATGCTCAGTCCACAACCATATTCCCTGAAGCAGCATTAAGACAAGGAAAAATTATACAATATTCCATAAGCTGTAACACACCAAAAGTTCAAAAACTTTGGTTTATTAGAAAGCCAAACAAGGATGGAACGGAAACAGAATTTTTGGTTTATTAATTGCCTCACTCCCGTTCTCTTTCAAGTTAAAAGCTAGCGTTGATGAAAACTTAAGAAAAGGCCTATGCATGATCTTATCTTGTCTACGAGTACGCTCCCTCTGGCTCTCTCACCGATTGCATTCATCATATAATATGTCCTTGTCATGGAAGCAGAGGGTTCAAATTGCCCACAATATGGCGGATGCTCTCAACTATCTCCACAACTTCTCCCACCCTCCCTGCATCCACAACAACTTGAAGGCCAGCAACATCCTCTTGGATGCCACCTTGAGGGCCAAGGTTTCCAATTTTGGCTCGGCAAGAGCTGTCGACTTGGAAAACCACCGCATTGATCAAGACTCCCAGCAAGAACAAGGACTCCAGTTCAGCAGACATGTGGTGGGCACTCGTGGCTACATGGCCCCAGAGTCCATCCAGAACAGAGTCAATACTACCAAACTAGATGCCTTTGCTGTCGGGGTTGTCTTGTTGGACCTATTATCTGGAAGAAGCCGCAGCCGCTGCTGCTGCCGATGACATTGAGAAGAACAATGAAGAGGTATTGCTATCTGCATCCATAAATGGGGTGTTGGAAGGAGACCATGTGAGAGACAGACTACAAGGCTTCATGCATCCTTCCCTCTAGAGTGAGTACCCCTTGGACCTCGCTTTTTCCATGGCCCAGTTGGCTCAATGCTGTGTTGCTCCTCAAATCAACTCTCCCCCAACCATGGCTGAAGCCTTCCTCACACTCTCCAAGATTCTTTTGTCTACGCTCGACTGGGATCCATCTGATAATGATCAACTTCAACTCCACCAGCATCCAAGTTTCGTTGCTAAAAAGTAAAAAAAAAATATAAAAAAAGACTAAAATGCGGAGTACCTACTGATTTAGTTATTGTATTGCACTCCGCATAGTAGTGTTCATGCATACGGCATTGCTCTATCATCTATGTCATTGTCAACAAAACAGAGGGGTCCCAACTTTCATGAGCTGCATAACCTTGAGGTATTGACCCGCTTAAATTTTTAGAACAAATATACGGAGTCTATTAGCCAGAACCAAAAGTAGGATTTGAACATGTTTGCTTATTAGATTGGAACACGAAGAAACCAATAAGCGAGCAATTGCAACACCGTTCAAAGTTTTCAGAAATTGCGCATTGTGCAAGGAAAACAAACTATAAAGATGCAGAAACAACAAACACAAACGGAATTCCATAATATTACAAGAGCCAGAGTATGATCCAAGGTCCATACAATTCTATATCTAATTAGATGTTATGAAACAGTATGATATTCCTGTATGACTGAATCAACCTAAATTTGTAGCGACAAGCTACCAAAAATTTCCATAATTTACATGCAAGCATGGTGGCATAATGTACCTAGTTGGAAAACCAGAGAGCTCTCAGGATGCAGGTGGCTCTCGATATGGTACGCAATCGAGAATAGATTAGCTGACTAAAATTTTATATCAAGGTTACACTGCAGTAGGAGGCGTACTATATATGGTCCGGGATACGAAAAGCATATCTTGTCTCTGCCCTTTGCAACTCATTCCACAAACTTCTGCAAAACCGTCCAATATCTCATACAAGAAGGGTTTGTATGAATTGCTCGAAGAACCCATCTTTGCGGACTCTGACAAAACTCCACACTAGAAGATTGTGGACTAGCTTTTGACTGTTTTGCAAGCAAATGCATCTGGAAGAACAGCTCAGCAGGCCTCATTTCTGTACAAGATTTAAAAACATCGACACATCATGGAGTATACATCAAATAATACATATCACAGACAAAGGCAGGCAGCCAATCAGAGGGAAACTGGTACGCCATTAAGAAAACCTTAGGCCATCTCCAATGGAGAGGGCTAAAGGTCCAAAAGCCAGAAAATGACATGATTTGCCCAAAAACTCATCTCCAACCGATGCCTAGGCTATAATTTTATGGAGCCCACCAGGCTGTTATTTGGCCAAAAGGGCATTAGGCTGGCCTGTTATTTGGCCAAAAGGGCATTAGGCTGGCCAAATGTAGCCCCTCTTAGCCCCTTTTTTAGGATCCACCTCTTCAGTTGCAATAATTAATTCAAATTCAACGACTAGATTTGAAAACATTCAACAGTAGTTTAACTAAATTAACCAATAAATTTAAAGTATAAACTTAAAACTAATAAATTATTGAGGGTGCTACATTTAGCATCTTCGGTTGGAGATGGTATATGAATACGGCCTCACACTATTCATTTAAAAATAATTTTTTGCAACGCTATAATTCTGGACGGAGCTATGTTTAGCCCTTTCGGTTAGAGATGACCTTAGTGGTTTCTCATAATTGTACCACCTAGACATTTAAGGAAAAGGACAAACAAATCCAAATTACACTCAACATGACAACTGATGTGCAAGTGTGGAAGTTGCTAAATTGGTCATCTATTTCTAGATGGATTGAAAAAAACAAAACAATAATTCATCAGGACACATGAACACTGATATGTCATATAATTTCATACCTGGCGGCCAAGTGGGCCATTCAAGACGGAGGTTCTTCTCCCACTTCTCTTTTGAGCCAAGACTTGCTACTGCTTGCGCTAGTAATGCTGAGACAATTGGTAAGGGAATGAGAGAAGCTTCTTGAGCTTTAACAAGACTCCTTATGGCAAGTGATAAGAACTGTGAAGCACACCCCCGGCGGGAAAGCTCCATACAGGTGGCACCTGGACCCATCGAAGATTTAATTATTGAATGAAAATACACACACACACACACAAAACATCTATCAATCTTGCTATTGTAAAAAATCAGGCATACATAGAGAATGATCAGGAATCAAGTCCGCATAGCACCTGCCTAAGAGAATATGTGTGATATGAAGTACAAACCCTCACACATTTATTAGTTAATGGAAAACAAGTCTATTCAATTTTACGTCATCTAATTCAGTTGGAGCATGTCATGTCAAGCTTAAACTAAAGCTTGAAATCTTACATTTAATGATCAGTAGGACCTACAAGAGGAAAAAGAAAAGAAAGAACTCCAAAAATCCCATCTACTAATGGACACATACCATGACAAAGCAGGAGGCTGCACTCAGCACCCGCCAATGAACAAGCTTGTGCAAGAAACTCTTCTGCAGAAACAATGTCCTGGTTCCATATACAAATCAAGCCTTTCACCAGACTGAATATAGCCCCCCACATATTCCGTGAATTCATTGACTCTGTTGGGCATTCTCTGAAGCTCAGTTCTAACATATCCAAGTCAGTTTGCACTTCATAACGAGACTCCATGAGTTTTAGACATATCCAACCAATATGAAGATCTGTCTTGGGCTGCAAGCATCTTATATACTCTTTTTGAAGGTTTACCATATTACCTTCTGAGGCATAGGCACGGAGTAGTAGCAAGTGTGCAAAGAAAAGATAGCCATCAGGGAGCATAATCGATGAAGCATTTGTGGCATGGTTGATACAGCCAGTCAAATTACCACCTTGCAAACAGATCTCAGAAGCACAAAGTAGAAGCTGGAATTTCTTATATTCATAAGATGAGTCATCATTATGATAAAATTCATCGGAAAGAGCTACAGTTATTAGCCGCTCAAGTATAATACAAAGATGGCAAGGAAATCTCTCTTCACGTGCCTTCTGCAGTAAATTGAGAACAAGCAAATACCTTATGTTCTGGTTCCATGGTTCTCTGCGTAAACATCTGCAGATTTAAAACATGCATAAGCTGTAACCCCTATGTATAGAGTTTAGAACAAGCAATTCCATATTTTCCGTCACAAAACGAAACAAAACTCTTTTGAAGGAAAACCCTGTCTAGTTCATCATCTTCTTATGCAGCCAATAGTAACAAGCACAAAGGAAACTATGAAAGGATAAACCAACAAAAACACTTAAATGGGATAAGGAATAATTATAATTCTTTTCTCTTTTTAGTTGGAGGAGAAACTGATCTTTAAAATCCAAAAAGCACATAGGTTTTACTTAGAAGTTATATAAACCATGACAGTTTTAGGTTTGGCTAATGAGTTCAAATTCAGAGAGAGGCATAAGTTACAATACTTCTGTAGTTGCTGGATGGTTCCAGGTTCATTCAGGCACTGGTATGTGCATGTTGGGTAAGAGAACTTGGGATTGCAAGTGCCAACAGCATAGCAAGCAACTGCTCCTGCAGCAAGAATTTCATATGCTGATTTTAAGCCACCTTCAATTGGATTCATAGTATCAACATTGCAACACCTAGTTGCAATGTGGGTATCATTCCATTCTTCAGTGGACAACAAAAGATAACCAAGAAAATTCCTGTTCCAAGAAAGTGCGTCAGAAGAATGTTTTAAGGCTAAAAATCACTAGCACCAATGCACTACGAAGCATTAAGTTACAACCAAAACATTCTAGAAACTAAATGGCAGGTCTGTGATAACCATAACAAGAGATTTCATAGGTCAAAATACAGAAGGTTTTATTTTGACCTATGAAATCTCTTCGTCAGTCCATCAAGTTGCAGTTTCACTGTCATTCTAATTCTATTGGTTAATCCTTTTCAGCTGTTCCTACTGGCACTGTCAGAAGTTATCCAGAAATCAGGATTTGTCCATGAGACCTTGATCATTGGAGTTACCTTAATAAGCTACTGTTAGGATACATATGAAGAGCTTTCCTAAGGTGATTAACTCCGCTTTGATATCCAAGACAGCATTCTGATCCATGTTTTACCTGCATACCCAAACCACAACAATATCAGTTTTCATATAAACTCCATAAATAAACAAACCCCAATCAAACACGAAAGGTTACTGGACTAGTAAACTTACTAGTTTACCAAGTGCTATCAAAAAGTGCATTCCAGTTATCTCTTCATGAGACTTAAGATAGTCACGGGCGCTTGACACAATAGACTGAAGACGATTACTTTGATCTAGAGCATGAATAGCAGATACTATGAAACTGATCTTCGAACTCCGAAATAGTTGCTTTGGCATCTTCAGAATGCTATTGATGGCTGAATCCAGTCCAGAAATATAATAAAGGAGTCTACAGATAAAAACAACAGGGCCAGCTGCAGATTTTTGCTCCATTGTAGAAACGCTCACAGCCAGACTTCTTACCACAGAAAGAGCCAGGTTAGTCTCACCAAGTTGCCACAAGGAGAAAGCATATATTTGCAAACCTTCCACGTCGAGCAACCCTTAAATATGAAAGATGTCAAGTAAAAAATCAGCAAAGTGAAGAATATATCAAAGGTTCCAATATATAATCACAAACATCCCCCTCCCCTCTTCTTTTAAGGCAGCTTGTACAAATTCTAAATTGTTGAGCAGTTAATTATAGATATCTTTGGAGAAAAGGAACAAGTAATAGAAAGAAAATGTTAAGCATCTCCTATTGTAAGAAAATGATTGTTTGATATAAAAGCAAGCTACTAATACATTATATTCACACAAACCTTCTTTCTTCAAATCTTCACATTCGTGCAAAGCATCTAGAGCATTCCCTGCCTACATCACAGACGAGCATTTTTTAGATAAGATACATGTGATACACACACACACACACACACACACACACATATGTATTTATTAGCACTTCAAAAAGAAAAAAGTCTTCCTGCATGCCTCCACACACACACACACACACACACACACACATATGTATGTATTAGCACTTCAAAAAGAAAAAAGTCATCCTGCATGCCTCCACACAAACACACACACACACACATGTATGCATTAGCACTTCAAAAAGAAAAAAGTCATCCTGCATGCCTCCATTGTAATTTTGTCCCTATGTTTTTAACTTTTTATAAAGGAGTGCATATTACTTTTTAGCAGTGCCAATAACAGCTCCCTACATGTATATTGTATAGTGTGTATACACATTAAATGTAAGATTATACCCTTACAGATCAGAAACAGGTCTTAAAAAAGACATCATATATGTTACCTTACTAAGGGATCGGGCCAAATTGACAGATATATCCGTCATATGCGACTTTCTGTCACTGCCTGACAAATTGGTGATTGCACAGCGTGCTAGTCTATAAGAAACGGCAGCAGACTGATAATTGCATTGTGCCTCAGAAACTAGCCCGTTCAAATTATGGCATTCAGGATAGTGAGGTGCACGCTGCATGGCCTGCCTGATGGCTTCAAAGACCTGTGGCAGTGATAAGCAGCACTACCATGAGAAAACTTAAATGAGACTTTGATGTCTCTTCCTCGCCCTTTTACAGAAGAGACGAAAGAAAACATGTAATACTAATCTCTGATTGCTCAACTATCACATAGGCATGACTAAACCTGTGAAGATGAAAGATTCCCTGAAGCAAGAGCAAGCTTTGCAAGACCAATTTGGAATTCGGCAAGCTGCATAGAAAGTTAGAAACATTAAATTAAAAATAGAGAATTATAGATCAAGTCTTTATGAAATTAAGAGCACAGGCTCCAAAGTTAAAAACAAGAAAGCAAAGATCAATAATTGGAAAGAAAAGAGAGAATAAGCAGTCAGATCCTGCTTTAAAGGAGGTCATAAAATCTAACAATATTAAATTAGAACAGACCATCAGTTGGAATGGAAAGTAAAAATAAATGCATTAAACATTTTTTTCCATATAAACCACAATGAAACAACATAACAAGGGCAAGGAGATAGAAAATTACAGGCAATATCTGTGCAGCTCGTAAGCAGCTCTCGTAAGCTTCTCCGACTGCAGACTCTCTGTAAAAGTACAACTAACTGTTAATAATGCTGACAGATGACTTCACGTACATCACATATTTTATGGGCCAGGTCCAAAGTTACAAATCCCAAAAAAAAATTTACCCAGCATGAAAATCAGCTGACATGCCTGCCCATGGTAAAGCAAGTGAAGGATCTATACTTCTGGCACAATCAAATGATTGTCTAGCAAATTGTTTCTCACCTTGTTTTCTATAAAGCTGCAAAAAGAACAAAAACTCAGACACCACAGGCAAATTCTGCAAGCTATAATTTTCCAACAAGCATTGTTATTACCTCCTGGATGTTTCAAATTATATAATGGACCAAGCCAGTGGCATGATAATGAAGTTCATAAATACAATGTCGATAAGTAAGGATTAGTCTAATTCAAGTAACTAAGACAGCAAATATACCAAATGCAACCACATTAAAGATCCAGAATTCCCCATGAGTGAGCATGGAAAACTCTCAGTATTCTTATGTTTTCTAATTTCCCCGTAAGAAATTAATATTAAAAGAGAAACCATACAAAAAGTCCAAGAAAATACTAATAGGACAAGGAAAAAAAATTGAGTAATACAAATGGACAGTACCTTCCCTAGGTATGCCCAAGCAACAGCTAGAGATACATTCAATTGCAATCCCCTGATTAGAGCATGTTGTTTCAATGCTTTATGATCAGACAAACATCCCAAGGCTACCCAAAACTCAGAATTGTCACCCTCAAGTAACAAGGCTCCCAAAGCCATCTTCTCTGATTGCTGCCTGTTAAAAAAAGAAGGTAAACTAAGAGAGCCATAAACAGCTAAATAAGTTGATTAAAAGATTATACTACATCATACCAAGCACTTAAGTCATGTCCAGAACTGTTGTCTAAAGAGTCTATGAGATCTGAAGTTACTGCAATGTCAGTATACATATTAGCTTGCCATGGGGCCAAGTGTAAAGCTCGTTGATAAGAGCACCTGGCAGTTTTCGCAGCCAAACAGCAGGTACGTTTCCATGAAAGGATGGAATTATCAAAAGATTCCATATCAAATTCTAAACCATTTCCCTCCTCCATCCATGGATAACACTTTGCATAAGTAAGCTAGAAAAGATGAAAAGCGTATCTCAAATTAGTTTTGGTTTGGGTCAAATTATGGTGTTTTAAACAGAAAGTTGGACAGGCAATGAATTAGAAACAAGGTTTCTAAACACTAGAAACTTAAGTAGAAGTTGAGGTAACATGAAAGATTGACAATAAGTCAATCTGCTATGAGACTTTTTTTTCAGGGACGGTGATCATACCTGTATGTCACCATGCAGTTTCCAAATAGATGACAAATTTCCAGCTAATTGAGTGCTAATCCAGGCAACTCTAGATGCCTCCTGAAATCAAATCATACAGTTCATCTTCTAACGTTTCAACAAATAGTAATATTTATAAACTTCAAGACAGCTTACCTCTAGCACTGTAGCTCCCCATCTATATGCTCCCAATTTATTGCATTCCTTGGCCAAACCAAGCATCCCAGCAGCAAGCCCATAGTGTGCAGAGACACTTTTGGGGGAGATCTCTAAAGCTTGCTGAAATGTCTCAACTCCCTTTGCAGAGAAACACCACCAAATGGAAATTATTTTCATCTCCGTAGAAATGGCACTTTGAACATAAAGGGAGGAACCCAGTATAATATTATTTGATGCAAATAATATGTTGGAAATTGCATAACTACACTTGCAAGTCTAACTAATTGCTCGTGGACAACTCTACTAAGAATTTAATCCATTATATATAAAACTACTGAGAGGAGAAGTCGACCAAAAAAATGTAACAGCTCTTGATAGAAAGAAAAAACATAGGATGTAAGGGCTCAAAAACAACTATACCTGTGTTAAATAACTAACTTAAATGCAAAGATGTAGCTTACAGCATTGTCATTGATGAAATTATAAACGAATGAGGAAAAAATGGTTGGAGAATCAATGCAGCGACATAGACATAACAGAACCTGACCTTTTTATAGCAACCAAGCATCAAAAAGGTGTTTCCGCTTTCAAGCAACGCAAATATTCTTGTACCCTCCAATTCGATGGCTCTTCCATAGGACTGTTAGATGGTCATGATATCAATCATAAATATTATATTCAAAAGAGAAGTATTGCTTGAAAAGTTTCAATTTGAAATTTAGAAGACAGCATCACATAATGTTTTGCCCAAGAAGAATGTGAAAAGGTTCTTTGTGCTTGTGAATATAGATATAATGAAAGGAGCTGCAAATGTAGATGTCTATTCAAACATCAGTTAACACAACAAGAATAAGTCCTAACTCATAAGAAGAGAACATCACCAGAAACACATACGTGATCCCAAGTCCTAAGAAGTAAAGAAAAAGGAAAGATAAAGGGAAAAGCACCTTTAAAGCAGCAGTGAACCTGCCTAGTCGCTGGTACGCAAGGCCAAGAGCCTACAAATAAAATTCGGGAAGGGTGAGATAACTGAGTATTGAGTATATTAGAAGCAGAAGCAAAAGAAAGATAAACAATGACAACAAAATGTGCATGAATAAGTACCTCCCAGAGATGTGCGGAGGTAGGATAGCCTCGAATGGCATGTTGAAGACTGTGGACAGCATCAGAGCATTTGTTTTGATGGAGCTGCAAGTAACCCAGTCTCTGAAAAGCCCAAAAGGCCCTGGGTGAATTTTGGGAAGCCTCCCGGCACACGGCCACCTCCAAGCTCTCCTTTCCTTGTTGGTCCAACAAATCACACAAGGCTTCCCCAGAAAGGGAGTCATCGGGATTGAGAGAGACAGCTTTTTGGAAACACTTGAGAGCTCTCTGGGTGTGGGACTCGGAGCCAAGACCCGCGTAATAAAGCCCTAGATATGTGAATGCCCCTCCCTTTTCAATCTCAGGCTTCAATTTTGCCGCGACTAGGAACTGCTCTGCCGCTTTCTCCTTGTCATCCCACTCTTTCCACAACAACACTCCCTAACATGTTTCCATTATTCATTATTCAAGTATCAATCGAAAATGCCAAATTCATATCTAGTGATTTACATATTAGAATTAAATAATAAATAGAAGAGGAGAGAAATCACATCAGCCAATTTTTGAAAATAAAGAGCAAATTAATTAGTGAATTGGAGGGATGATTACGAACCAGTTGGAAGCGAAGGGAGGGGTCATCTGGATGGGCCTCTACGCTCTCCTGCAACCGTCGGAGCTTCCCTTCCTTTTCTGGGTCCTGCACAACAACCAATTTCACTCAATTTTCCTTTTCCTTTTTCAGTAAATAAATTTAAATTTGCATAGAAAGAGAGAGAGAGACCGTGTGTTGCATTGCATTTAGATTTAGGAAAGTCTTGGAAGGAATTTCGTCCGTCGATGATCTTTTAACCCTACACAGTCAGTCACTCGCGTCGGCTCCGGCGACGGGACTAAAAGTGATACTGGAACTGGACAGAATCAGTCCGAACGAACTAGTGACTACTCACTACTGTGGATTCTTTTCCTTGAGACTTTGCTTCCTTCTACTGCTGTGCTGATTTTCGGTTCAAGTATTTTGTTTCTCTCTCTCAATTGCACATACAAAGTACCCAGCCGGTCGCTGGTGTCTTCTCAAACCCTTTCGTTTGGATAATTTGGAGGTGCTGCGTTAAGGGCATGTTAATACGACTTCTGATTTATTTTGATTTTTGCCTTTGTTGCATTTACTAAAAGAAATTTTAATCAAACATCCTGCTACTATTTATTTTTAACGAAAATGATATTTTTATTTTAAAAAGTCACTCCTAATACTATTTACTTACAACATTTTTTTGTCCTTTTAATTAAAACTCAAAGTTTTCAAGTCATTTTCATTACTTTTCCCTTTACTAAAATATAATAAGTAAGCTTTTAATTTTCGCACGCGTTAATTACATATAAACAAATTGGAAAATTGGAAAATTTTATTAAAACACATATAAAAATAAGGATTCCGACTCTTTTATTTTTGATACAATAGAAATAAATTGGTTAAAACTTATTATTCTCGAAGTTCAAACATAAATGAAAAAAAAATGTAACCAGACCGTATTATTAAATAGCATCTTATTATTTTCTTTGCTGTGAATTAAACATGCTCTAAGAGCATTTCCACTCTATCCAATTGAAAGGGAAATTTGGGTGATTATGTCCACCAAAACCAATAAAATGAGCTCTAGCCCGAATGAGGATCATCTCCTGCTCCTCTTTGTTAGAATTCCAATGATACTCCAATCACATTCGTTCATCGTTCATCGTATGGTCAGTTTTCGTTAGATACTGTTTATATTTAATTTTTAATTAAAAAATTTACAATAATTTTTTATCGCACAATATACGATGAATGAATGTGATTGGAGAATCTTCAGAATCCTCACAAAGAGGATTCAGAGAGGATCCTCGTTCCTTTAGCCATACATATCAGTCGAGCTATCATGTGGGGCCAACAACCACGGACCAAGGGCTTAGCCCATTCCCACCTGCCTTAGCGCCTCGGTGAATTTGACATCAGGCTAACGTAACACGTTAAATATTTTTTTGACATCGGATTTCTCCCCTTCTAACGACCTTCCTTCCAACTGAAGACGACCTAAGCTTTGGAAACTCAAATACAACATCAAATTCATCCCCTTCCAAAGACCCATCAGACGAGTCGCTATTCTTTCCAACTGAAGACGACGAGCTGCTACACGATTCCTCATGCTTAAGAGTATGATCTTGAGCAAACTCTTTATTCTCTGAAGAGTCGTAGATGGGGATGCAAGGCTCATGATGCCAGAGGCAGACCTTGAAGAAAACAATTTGAAGACCATTAGTATGCATTGGAATAATAGGTTGTGTATTTTAATGACATAGGAATTTGTTAAGTCATTTTTAGAGAGTTTCTTAGGAAGTTGTAGTATATTTATGTTCCCTTATCTTGAGTTCCTTTAAATATTGATGTATCAAAGGCCTTTGGGTTAGAGTTGAATGAATTAAAATATATTTTTCTTTGTGCAATTGAAGCAAGTGATTTCTTCTTTCTTAATCAAGCATTTGCGTGTGAGCAAATCCACAATTAGCAACGTAAGCGAGCTCTGTTGCCCATAGTTGAGCGAATCCTAGATTATCTATCTCCATCTCCTCAATACCCTTGGTTCTATCCTGCATCAGCGTTCTGTGGATGAATTGGGTGATTAAAATTTTTGTGGTTGGTTTGGTGTGGGAAAATAGAGGCGGGGGAGAAAATGATGGGCAGAGATGACGATGAGATAGAAATGGGAAGAGAGTGGGAAATGGGAGGTTTCTAGAGAGGATTACTTTAAAAAAAGAAGATTATATAATAATACTATAATATTATAATATTTTTATTTTTATTTTTTATATAAATTTTTAATAATGATTGCCTCGGTGATTTATTTTGAGTGGTTTTGTATAAAATCAATCAAAAGTTTGAATATTAACAATAGTTCTGTTAATTATTATTTTTGAACAAATGATATTATCTATACTAATGGAAAAGGTTAATTATTATTTTTGAACAAACGATATTATCTACACTAATGGAAAGGGTCTGGACTTAGTCTCACAATGAGTTAGAAATAATGTGGTTCAAATTCGCCTTTGGCGAGAATCGAACTTAAAACCTCTCACTTACAAGTGAAGAGGAATATCACTAGACCGTAGTACTAAGTGGCAACAGTTATGTTAATTATAAATAGATCAATCATGTATTGTGATACTTAAATGCATTTAAAAAAATAAAAATTACAAAATATGCCACTACAGCTAACATCCATTTCAACTGAAACCCCTTTTATTTTGGAATAGGTTAATACAGATCCATACATTTCAACGCAGTGTCCATTTCTTGTTTCTATTTTTTACATTTGGATTCAGACGCTGCGTTACAATGTCCATTTTCTAATTAAGCATATTTGTCCATTTGCCCCCAGAACTTGTATAGACCTGTTAATTTCCCCTCTGAACTTTAATGTTAGCTGATTAACCCCCTGAACTTTTAAAATTAGCCAATTTCTCCCTTGACCTTTAATTTTAGCCAACACCCTCCTGAACTTTTATAAATAGCCAATTTCCCTGCTAACACTAGATTTTGAAATTTTTATCCAAATTCCATCCATTTTGATCATGCGGACAGCGCATGACAAATGTATGGGGAAAAAAGAATAGAAAATTAGATGGATGAAAATTGGATGACAAATTTAAAAATATAACGTTAGGGGGGAAATTGGCTAATAAAATTTTAGGGGGTAATTAGCTAAATTTAAAGTTCAAAGGGAAATTGACAGCTCTATACAAGTTTAGGGGGCAAACTGACAAATACTTCTTCTGGATATATATTTTCCATCACTTACACATCTCCTACGCTTTCCACCTCCCACGAATCTTTGGTCTTTCATTTGAATTCAGACACTTCAATGCAGTGTCTGTTTCCTGGTTCTACTCTTTACATATGGATTCAGACTCTGTGTTCCAATGTCTATTTTCTAGTTTGTTTTTCCATCCCTCACATGCTGTCTATTTTCTAGTTTGTTTTTCCATCCCTCACATGCCTCATACACTTCACACCTTGCGCAACTCATTTTTTTTTTCTTTTTTTTTTTTACATTTGGATTCAGGCAACGCAATGCCATTTTTCTTATTCAGTTTTTACATTTGGATCCATATACTGCAACAAAATTTTCATTTCCTGGTTCTTTTTTTACATTTGGATTCAGACACTGCGTTGCATTGTGCGTTCCATGGTTTTTTTTTTTTCCCATCATTCACACACCTCCTATGCTTCACACCTTGCACGACTCCTGTTTTTATCATTTGGATTTAGACACTCCTTTGCAGTGTTCATTTCCTGATTCTCTAAAAGCTTATGTACACTTGCAACCATTCCTTCCCGAACCCCATCGCTACCATCTGCTTTATGATCTCGTGAACTTCATTGATGGTTCTGGAAGGAATCGTGTCAACCATGATGTCATAGTTGTTGATCAACTAAGCCATTGGCGAGGTATGAGCCACCTAGGACCTTTTGTTGTCTCTAAATATATGTATATTCAATTATTTGATTAACTGGGAAGGAGCCAGTCCAAGAGAACCAAAATTTGAATATATCCGACCACAACTGAACCTTGCTAACCGACAAAGAGACGTGCAATGAGGAATGCAAAATTACAGATATAAAAAATATGTCCGCTTGGATATTGTATTTGCTAAACCGTTTAAATATACATACATGAAGGCTCATTAAGTTTGAAGCAATGGCATTGGAATCTCAGAAGCAACAGTTCCCATGACTCCAAAATTTGCAGATGAAACAAAGAAAATAACAGCTACTAGTGATGTTGCTAATTGCCTAATTAAATCTATGAAGATTTAGGTTGCATGAAGAGAGTGAATAATATGTTGGAGGTAGAATTAGAGAGAAAGATGGAAAGAAGAGAAGAGAAGGACGGGAGAAAGTGGAGAGAAAGAATGGAGGAAAAGCCAAGTTAGAATAGGGGGCGTGATATTCACACACATTTTTATACTTCTCACACATTCTTCTAATTTTTGACCATCGGATCGAATAAATCGAAGAAGATCAAGGGACATAAATCAACAAGGGACGTGTGAGAAGTAAAAAAGGATGTGCTATCCACACACCCTTAGAATAGACTAGATAAGGATGAGAAAGATGAGGAGATAAAGAAAGGAATAAAGTAAAGAGAGAATAGTATAATAATTATTTTGTAACTAGCTTAAACCTATGTGGTGTGCTTCATTGATCTATTCATAATTATTTTAAATATTTTATTGATTATGTACAAAAAACGTTTGACCATTGATGTAACATCCCACATTGTCCAGGGGAGTGGATCATGTGATCCTTATATGTACATTCTCATCCCTACCTAGCACGAGGCCTCGAGGCCTTTTGGGAGCTCACTGGCTTTGGGTTCCATGGGAACTCTGAAGTTAAGCGAGTAGCGAGCGAGAGCACTCCAATGATGGGTGAGCCACTGGGAAATTTTCGTGTGAGTTCCCAGAAACAAAACCGTGAGGGCGTGGTCAGGGCCCAAAGCGGACAATATCGTGCTACAGTGGTGGAGCGGGCCCGGGATATGGTGGACCCCGGGCCGGGATGTGACAATTTGGTATCAGAGCCTAACCCTGGCCGTGGTGTGCCAACGAGGACGTCGGGCCCCTAAGGGGGGTGGATTGTAACATCTCACATCACCCAAGGGAGTGGATCATGTGATCCTTATATGTATATTCCTATCCATATCTAGCACGAGGCCTTTTGGGAGCTCACTGGCTTTGGGTTCTATAGGAACTCTGAAGTTAAGCGAGTGGTGCGCGAGAGCATTCCCATGATGGGTGACCCACTGGGAAGTTCTCGTGTGAGTTCCCAGAAACAAAACTGTGACCCACTGGGAAGTTCTCGTGTGAGTTCCCAGAAACAAAACTGTGAAGACGTGGTCAGTGCTCAAAACGGACAATATAGTGCTACGGTGGTAGAGTGGGCCGGGAATGTGGTGGACCCCGGACGGGAATGTGACAATTAGTATATTTAGCTAAAAAACCTATTTACTTTTAGAGCTGAAGATACCATTGGGCGATTACTATTCACTAAGTACTAATTTCCAATTGCCCAATCGCCTGGACAATTATCTCCCCAAAGAGTGGACCTAAGAAAAAAAAAATTGGATAAATTTGCGGGGCTGCTTTATTAGTGAATTGAGTTAAGATTGATTATGATAATGAACCAAAAAAAATTGGTCATCCGAGATAAATCAAACCGCGTGGTTGAGCAAATCATGATCGAAATGTACGTGTTTTGGAGTTGTTAATAATTAAGTTGAATCTTCACTTAGTACTATGGTTTAGTGGTATTTCTCTTTATTAATAAGTGAGGTGTTTTAGGTTCGATTTTCGTCAAATGCAAATTTTGAACCACATTATTACTAGTTTATTGTGAGGTTAAGTCCACCTCTCTTCTTAGTGTGAATAATATCGGTTGTTACAAAAAAAAAAAAAAAAAAAAATCAAGTAGAGCCACACCATTCATTCTTTTTTACTTTATAGGACTGAAATAATTGAAACACCTTTAAACCCAAACCAAACCAATCATTATTGTTCAATCTATTACAGTCTACATCAATGAAGCACGGATACTTTAGTTTGATAGCGTATCTCGTATTTGATACGTTATCAAGTGCGATAATTTTGTATACTCACCGGATACAAGTATTTGACTTTTAAGATATAGTTACACTTTCAAATGAGAAATTAAAGGAGAAAATTAATAGGAAATAAAAATTTACTTGAAAGTTGATGAATACAGAGAGCTTGCCTCTTTGACAAAAAAAAAAAAAAAACAAACAAACAAAGGGCTTGCCTCTAATTGAGACAATGAATTAGAATGAACTTGAATATTTCGATGTTTTTATGTTAAAATATGTTTAAAATTATATATTTTTATTGTCGTATTCATGACGTATTGTATTTTAGTTTTTAAAGTTTTTAAAGATTATGGTTTTTATGTGAGAATTTTTTTTCTGAATTGATTGAGACTATACATGCATAAACTGGATGCATACTAGTGTGCGATTTGTTTATTTTAAAATGTGAATATGCACTATCATTGCAATACCTTCAACTGATCCCCAAGTGGGGGAATCAAGTTTTCGAATGTGAGAATAAGTATAAGAGTATTTAAGTTGGCTAGTTTTGAATTATAATTCTTATGATGTTTAAAATCGTTTTTTATTTGATAAGGTTGTTGGTGAAATTGTAATATAATCCTTCATAGTGTTGCTTATAGATTTTTTTTAAAGATTTTTATTTAAGCAATTGGTTGAGGGATGATCATGTTATTTATTATGTTTGATGAATAAGATGGTTGGAACTTGCAGGCCCTGTTTGGCAGATCGGATAAAGGATCGGATATGATTAGTTATACAGACTCGGGTGTTTGGCGTTCACTCGTACTAAATAAGCGCCGGATTAATTTAACCGGTCGGATAGAATAACACGGTATACACCCACTTAATAAAACCAATCAAAACGTCCGGATTATTTAGTCGGGGAAGAAGAATATGGGAGAGAAAGGGAGGGAGTTTGGGGGGTGTGGCGGAGAGAGCTGGGGAACAATTATTTGGGATTCTTCTGTAGTTGGGGAAGAAGAAGGGAGAGAGAGGGAAGGTGTTTGGGGGGTGCGGAGAGATCTGGGAACAAAAAAATGATTTCACTTTTTAAATTTTTTTTTTTTTTAAGTTTGATTCCTCCTATCTAGTATAATACCAAACATAGTATAAATAATACGGTCACTAGTCCGATACTGCACCAAACACCCGACCAATTTAGTCAGTACTATCCGGTGACTATTTATCCTATCCGACAGAAATAGTCAGTACAGTCCGAGCTGCCAAACGAGGCCATATTGTTTGTTAATAATGAGTTCGGTATAGATGAGTGAGAGCAAACAATTTTGGCTTTGTTTTGCCGGTTGGTTTATGTCCCTGTTGAAGTTATATATATATATATATTTTTTTTTTTTAACAACAACGCATAACCCCGAAAGAAAAAAAAGATCACATAAGAATATCATGAGGCTACGAGACTCCGTCTATATTTGCAACTAGCAACCAATGACAAGAAAGAGGAGCTTGCTCAAAAAAGACTGGATCCAAACTGCATGACAAACCAAAGCGAGCCAAATCATCAGTAACAAAATTCTTGTCACGATAGATATGACGAATTTAACAAGACCACCTTTAATGCACAAGGGCACGACAATTTAGTACTAAACTTCCCAGATGGTGATTATTCACTTTTGTATTTGGAACCAATTGAACTGCAAGAGTAAAATCTGATTTTACCATAATTCATTTTGATGCTTAAGAATCAAATTGGGATTCGATTAAGCAATTGTTTAAATTATTACTTTATTACTCATTATGTTAGAGTAATGTGAAAGTTAGTAGAATTTGTTATTAACTGAAGCTTAACATTATCGTTGTTTAAGTTTACAATGCTAAATATTTTGGTCGGCATTATTACAATCAATTGCCGCATCTTTAGGAAGTTGGGGCATTTTATTGTGGGATTTATCATACATTTTGAATGCTTCAATATAAACATTGCATATCGTTGAACTTCAAATACGAATGCTCTCGATCGTGGAAGATAAATTAAACATTTGGATGTGTCAAACATTTTTGATTAGGCAAAGGAATATTATGCAAGGTAGGAGTACTTCTGAATATCCAATTAATGTATATATATTGAAAATTGTTGTTGTCATTTCAAAAATCTAATTATGCATTCTTTATAAGATATTTTTCTTTTTAAATTTAAAAAGTTTGTAAAGCACAATTAAATTCTTAAAGTGTCAATATTAGTTCCATTTTGACCATTTCATATAAATCCCTCCTACATGCGAACTTGTGCGATCAAAGTGCCTATGGAACTGGTCTCCTCTTTAGCAGCCTCCACAAATCGATCCTGTTATGAAATTCAAATCCTCATTAGAGATATTCTAATCCATAATGCAAGCTAGTAATAGTATAAAGACACACAAATTTGATAACGTTACTAATACACACTCTCTTATTGTATTATACATGGGATTCAATTGTATTAGAGAGTCTGTGCAGTTTTGTACTACATCTTCGAATATAATAAATGAAGTAGGATTCTCTCTCTCCCCTTCTATTTCTATCATCTTCCCTACCTTTCTTTCACACTTTGTTTTTTGTTTTATTGTCTATAAATAAAAAATAAAAAAAATCAATATAAGTTGTTGACATGATTTAATCGTAACTGTTCAAATAAAAGAAAATAAAGGAGGAGAGAGATTAGAATGGAAGAAAACCTCCTCCATAATAAATAGCATACATGTGTAGCTATCATGCGTCCGACCGTTCTCTTGCTCGACTCTTGAAGCTCCCCTGCAAGTAGAAGCTCGTCCAATATAAAGTAGGCCTGCAAATATACATGCCACCTAACTTCCATTAAAATTTTAAAAATACATAAATATTGAAAGGAATATACTATATACTAGTTACTATCGTGCAATGGAGAAGAATATAATACACAGAAAATAATGATACCTTGTGGAAGTTAAAAATCAAGTCCAATTCACAAACCTATTTACACAAGAAAGCAGATCTTATATAACAATTGCAAGAGGGATTAAAATTGAAGAATTAATGAAAGCTCACTACTTACGCTGCCGAAATAGCGATCGAGTATCTCAACGTAATGGTGAATTATTTCAAGAATTTCCAATTCGTTGTCATCCTCATCAACACACATGCAGAAATAGAGGCTCGCATATCTGAACACAATAATAAACCACTAATTAAACATCAATTGTTATGCATCTTCAACGTATGAACCATGAGTAGCCAGTTTACCTTTTGTAAACAACTTTGAATCCCCTCCACTCCACAAAGTTGCACAACTTGGGACCCCGATTCAGTATTATGCCACTCAGTTCCCGCATTACCTTTTTTTTTTTTTTTTTTTTTGTTAATAGGAGAAAAAGTTAATTACAAATTTATCGTGCAATCACAAAATGAACGAATTAGAATCTTTCTTACCGATTCATTGCATTCTGAGTTTAAATTCTTCTTCATTTTGTTAGTGTATATTAGTGTAAAATACCGTTTATAATCGAAAGTGGAGGATTGAAAACTTATTACCTTAGATCGTTCCTTCTGGGGATAGGTTGAAAACCATTTGGTCAGCCTCACTTTTCCTTGTCGGCTAACAAGAATCACGAAATGAATCTGCATATGCATGCATGCCATCATGCGCCAACAAACAATATTAATTTCATTGCAATTATTAATGCCCAAAGCTCTACATCTGATCATGCGCAGCGTACCAATGAAATTTTTTGAGATGTTGATTCAATTAACATAAATGAAGATAGAAATTACCATTATTGCTGATGAAATTGAGCTATTGATGCTTTTGGATGATTGGATATCTTCTTAATTATTACAATTTTAAATTCTTGAATAAAATATACGAGAGAGATGTCATCTCATTTTTAGACTCACTCGGAGTAACGCAACAAAATGAGTGGTCGTTGTGCTACAAATTTGGGTTCAAAGACAACCCATTCAACGGAACACGGTTACACCACCACTTGGCACTTGTCTTTCTACCAAAGTAAAAGGATTAGAGGATTTTTGGTTTATTTTTTAAATACTGGATTAGAGGTATTTTATTTGAACCCTGCGAATGATTTACACTAATTAATCATAATTTCCAAATGGACGGACTGATGGGTTTTCAAATTCGCAGTGGCAAGCGCCTGTTGAAAAACCGCTTGAGACCTAAAAATCCCTCCTGTAAATACAGTGAAAGAAAAACAAATTTTTGGCGTCACGTATTACAAAATTTGTGTTTAGCTTTTTTTATTTTCTTTTTGTGTTCAATTTAAATCCTTGATGTTTTTGTTTTAACAGAGAGACAGCATAATTCACCATTCCAATTAACTTCTTCTTTCAAGTCAACCGGAGGAACCACAACTCCCTCCCTCCTCCCCAGTTCCCAGCCATCTGAGGAAGGCGACATTCTTTCGAGGGTTGGAGATGGCACGTTCCTGGTTTTTGTACAAAATCCAGAAAGCTAGCTATCCATGACATAACAACCATTCCTGGTTAACTTACATTTGGAACAAAGCAATTCAGTTGAATATTTTCTACTTTAATTTCATCAGTCCAACTCTGCCTGTACAGATGATTAACACTTGCCCTTTATTTGGCTCCTATGACAAAGAAACACAACTACGAGTTGAATAATTACAAAGTTATTTATACATTGGTTACATCCTCATGGACCACGTACCGAAAGGTTGAACTCTGAGGTAGCCAATGTATGTAATTGTCAAGTTTTCCTTGCATGCAGCTTCTGAAAGCTTTCTTTTGAGTATCCGAAAGACAATCATTTATTTCCTCCAAGAGGCCTACAGTACCCAGCGACATGTCTTTTGCATAGTAGTCAAGTATTTTAGGGAGGAAAACTTTTGTCTCCTTGCATGAGACACCAGCTCGAATGAAATCTGTTTGAGCAAGTTTCAGATCCTGAAATACGCTCTTTGCTGTGTATGCTCGAACCTACATCCAGTAAAGTGGCACCGTTTCAGACAAAGCTAGAAACAGGTAAACTAAAAATAGTTATAGAAAGAAGAAATTGTTACCGCTGGGTCAGAGTATGCCCCTGAACATAGAGCAAAATGGACTAGAGGCTCAGGGTATTCTAATGCGTATACATGTCTAATGCTCCCCGCCTTCAACTTCTTTCCTGAATGAAACAATGTTTGTCGCCACTGCATTCACATAGTATGAAGAAAGGCATTACAATGAGCACAACATATAATACTAATATAAAAGGTATGCAATGAACATTGTGAATGCTGGATATGCATCAAATTAGCTTCAAATGATGGTTGCTCAGCATACTATGAGCCATTTTGCACATACTCTGAGGTTAACATTATGACGGTTAGTCCACATATTCTGAGTTTCTAGGCATCAAATTAGAGTCAGATGATGCAGAATACGCAGCACAGCTGAGTTTCTTGGGCCATTGTTCACAATGGCATTGCAGAAGAACGCCTAATGTTCCTAAAGCTCATAGGCCTAATCTTGTCACAAAATTACATGGTTGGCTTGCAGGATATGTAGAGTCCTAAAGACCATACAAGGTTTAATAAGGTATAAGAGAAAAGTACACATACCGGTGCTGAGCGGTGTGCTCGGATTCCTAAGATGGAGGTCTGAATGATATACGCATTTATGCTATGTCCACCTATATTATACGCTGCCTGAAAATAGGATTGTAAAGGACACAAGTGTCCATATGGGTGAGTTCCAATAACATTTAAACAATAGTCTATAGGATGCACTTTTACGTACATTTAAAATTGAACTACTTTTCGCACGATTATGAGTTCCATATGCCAGGTATGCCTGCAAAGATTATGTCATAAACCCCATTAGACATGCATTTACTTCTATGACAAATATCTTTTGGCAATATTCATCCGTTTGCAATTTCTCTGAAAGAGTTAAAAAAATACAAATGATTTTCTTAACGTATTATATGCATCAATGTCTTAGAAAAGTAATCATACTGTTACTGGAGCATCCCATATTCCATAATCATAAGCATATAGAACAAATAACTTTCAGAGTAAAGTTTTGACTATGAACCTAAAGTTTTACTGTGAAGAGAAAGAAAGATCGTAAAGGATTAAAAATTATGGTTTAGAAGCCATACATGCATCACCAAGGCATTGTGAATGTTAATCCAGAACACAAGCTTCTGCTCACGTTTCATCTTCAGGACGTCAACCTTCTCTAGACTTCGAACCAATGACCTATATAGAGCATTCAAGCATGTCAAACTCAAAAAAATCTCACATATCTACGGAATTTTTGAAATATCAACCAGAAAAAGGGTAAGACACATGATATAATCATGTAGTTAACAGATCTAGTTTTACCAAGGGGGAAAATAAAATCTAAACTTATATTTATCAGATTGAGGTTCAATGTGCATAACCTGAAATTTTGCAGCATCATAGCAGCACAATTGAAGCTGTCTTCATCTAAACAGATCTTTGAAACTTTGGTCATTGTAGCACAAGGTTCACTTTTTTCTTTCAACCCTTGAGGATGCATTGTAGCTTCCTCATTGCAATGTGGACTCCAACTATCACAAGGATTCTTAGAAGAAAATATACTTGAGGAGGATAAGGATGAAGTAGGAGAAGCTGACAGGCGTGCATGGTTTTGGGGATTGGCGAGTTTGCAGTATATAGAAGAGATGCATCTCACAATATCTTCAGAAAGTCTATCCGGAGTATTAAGGGTACTATCATTAAGAGAATCACCAAGATGATCCGCTAGGCTGCGATGACGAGAATTAGCAATTTTGCTGTCCTACAAATGCATAAACTCTAGTTATAGACAAATCATAGCTCGAATTGCTTTCTCTAGAAACTGAGCAGAAAATAAAAGTCGGCACAATATTGTAAAAACCCCTTTAGCCCTGCAATCAGGAATTTTAATGTTAATAAACAAATTCATTTAGTTATTCACCTTTTTAGATGGTGCTTTTATGCCAGTCGCACTACTTTGATTATCTGAGCTAGCCTGGCGATATGCGGGGGAAGTTTGATCATGATAGGTCAATTCATCTCTGTGCATTTGCAGCTCCAATTTGGAACGTCCTGTTTTAAATTGTAAATGGCTTTCTGGAGTACCTGGCAAAGAGCATCCTTGAAAAGCTGTTCGATACAGTGAAAGAAGATGACGCTCTAAATGCATAATTTCAAGCTCAAGTGTGTCAATCTCCTCCTTCAGCTCTGTACAAGACTGTTGTAGAGCCCAAATGCCAAATTAAAAATTGAAACAAACTAAAGCAATTTTTTTTTCAATAATTAAAAAAAAAGGTGAGGTATTACCGAATGTAAGAAAATCTAAAAGGTGTGTGGAAGAGTTTTTGGGAATGGGGGGATAGTAAGAATCACTACAGTGAAACTACTAAAGTGAATGGTAGAATACAAGAAACAAACCTTTGGTGTTGGAGATGCAAGGGAAGCAAAAGAGTTGATGGAACTAGAACCCAGCGCCTTGTCAGAATCCCACCAAAGGGAAGCCTGATCACGCGAAATCCTATCCAACTGTGCAGTCTGTGTCAAAAGATAGATGCAAAGCATGTGTGAATGTTGGTCTAGACTAGAGGATGAGATCAACCATGAATACCTAGTTAGCTAGTGTGTATATTGAGCGATATATACAATCTTCAAGTCTCTTCAATATCCTCAACATGTTATGCTGAATCCATAGAATTCGACGATGAAATCGAGAAATAAAGCTTTAACTCATGAAATTAAGTGGTAAATTCCAAATTTATTGGCCGAAATTGAAACAAATTTAGAATGAACGAACAAATGAATGAATAATGGATGGTGGATCAGGAGCAATGCTGATGCATCAGGTGAAAGAAAATGAGAGAGAAAAACTAGCGGGAATTAACAAATTAAGATTTGTAATGTAAGACTTACAACAGGGTTAAACAAGGAGAGGAGTCCATTAATCTCGTCAGAAGTAGCGCTGCAATTTAACCAGGCCAACATTCATCATTCATTAATATCAGAAAAGAAAAGAACGAGTTGCTCATTAATCTCAATCCAATCTTGCAAAATTAAATTAATTTAAATTTAATTTAATTTACCTCTTCATATCATATGGGATGGGAGGAACAAGTTCTCTGTCTCCCTCTCTCACTGCAGATACACTATCGCACTCCTCCTCCTCCTCCTCCTCCTCCTACCACCACAGTAACAATATCAGAGAGTCAATTAGCATTTGAGAAACAAAAACAAGACAACAAATTAAGGAGCGAGACAATTAATTAAATAAATGTAGAATGGTTCATTTACCTAGTATAGTCTAGTCTAGTCTAGTCGGCTTTTGTCTGTCTGTCAAGTGCTGGACACTTCAAACTCAAGAAAGTAAGCAAGCACCTGTATTTCCAGAAATATATGTATTGAGAGAGAGAGAGATATATATATATATATATATATATATATATATGAAGAAGAAGAAGAAGAAACGAAAAAAGGGGTCAAGAAGCTGACATTGCACGAGGGATGAATCATGAGATGCGTAGAGAGGAGCAGAGAAGAGTAGACAACTAAACCTTCAACTCCTCCACGGGGTGAGGATAAAATTGATTATAAAATAATGAGTCAATTAACTTATTAATTAATTAACTAGAAATAGATGATGCAATGAAATGAAGGCAGATGATCCACCACAAGATATGGCGGGGGTTGGGATCTAGCTCATAAGTCAGTCAAGTAAACAAATACATTAATAGCTAATTAATTAATATGAAATGAGACGTGGGACCCTGGACAGCCCACGCAGGCAGGCAGATGAGAGAGACCGGAGGAGGAGGGCATTCCAAAACAGCAGACAATAATGAATCATGATTCCTTTTCTTGGTCTCACATACCAATATTATGATTCACGATCAAGTCTCTAAAAGATAATGATTAACACTAATTAAGTATGCTAATAACAAAACAAAACAGAAAATAACAAAACAGAAAGTAAAGGTGAAAAGAAGACCGACACAATTAAGTACTAGTTATGATGATTGATTTTGGTGGAGCATCAGTCCATCGTCGTATGTTGCTCTTATTAAACTCTCGCAGTTCGCATGCTCATTTCTCATTCCATTACTTCACCAATTGTTCCAATCCTATCAAATGCATTCTAATTTCGAGTCAAACCACCTTAATTATTGTATAAATCGGATGACATCCTTCTTACCATTTCTTAAAGGAACATTATTCATCTTAGCAACTGTGATCATATAGAATTGTCTCCCTATTGGAGAAGAAAAAAAAATGATTTTTTTTGGTCAATTATGTTATAGAATTAGTGGGTGAATACACTCAAAAGAATGCCCAAAGACTTAGTAATAGTGAGTAATAGTGTTTGATACTTTCAAAAGTATCATCATTGTATTTTGATGGTTGTAGTTACGAGAGTCGCTCTATAAATAGAGCACTTCGTCTGTTATCAAATGCACTGCAAAAGAAAGCAAGAAAAATAATATCAGTATTAGGGGTGGGCACGGTGCGGTTCGGTGCGGTTCCACCCCTAAATTGGAACCGGAACCGAAATATATTAACGGTTCGATTCGGTGCGGTTCCACTTAAATTTATGACTAGAACATTACGGTTCGGTCTACACCGGTTCCGATTCGGTTCTTGCCGCTTTACGGTTCCTAATAATAAATTATTTGAACACCAAATCATTATGCATTCAAATACATCTTCTAAAACTGATTACATAAAGTTGCATACAACACATCTTTTTTAATGCAAATGTCTTTGGTAGTGGTACCAAGTCAACAAAAAGAGACAACTAAAACACATATGCACTGGTCAATCAGTCAACAAACAAAAAAATGATGAAACAAATTGCAAGTTTTCAGACTTCAGAGAGCAAGCAAGAAGCAGCAGCTCCTGTACACAATTTTTCAACCTATTTTTCAACCTATTATACTATGACATGTGTGTGTATATATAATTTATTTATTTATTATTAATAAAACGGTTCGGTTCGGTTCGGCCGGTTCTTGGTCATTCGAAACCGGAACCGGAACCGGTTTGAACGGTTCGGTTCGGTTTTTCACTCAAAGTTGACTTTTCCGGTCAACACGATTTTTTTCGATTTTTTTTCTTACGGTTCGATGCGGTTTTGCGGTTTGTCGGTTTTTATGCCCACCCCTAATCAGTATCCCTCCCTCTCTTTATCTACCATCCTTTTTTGTGTTATAGCTACTAAAGTCATAGTGTGATATTTTGCACCTGCTTCGCTCCTGTTCTTAGAAAGGTTATCTCTCTAACTTTTATCTATTTATAACACGTTATCAGCTCGGCTCTCTAACCTTAAATAGTTCACATCTCCCTTCACCATAAGAAAGAAGAAAAAAAAAATGCTTCCTTTAAGGTTTTTCCTGTTTTTCTTCTTCTTCTGCTTCATCTGCGTGATGCACCCTCACGATGAACTGCTAGCACCATGCCTGTTTCTCGTTCTAGATTTAACAGTTACTTATATCTTTGATTTCTTGTTTAGTGTAGTTCCTGGTTTCTAACCCAGTGTTTATTTATGTTAATTTTACTGTAATCAAAGATGGTGTAGTATAATCGCCCATCTTGAACTGCAAATTTAATTTTCATTGCGATCAAAGATGGTGCAGTACAATCGCCCATCTTGAGCTGCAAATTTAATTTTACTGCAATTTTAGGTGGTGCAGTATAATCATCCACCTTGCTTTACATATTCAAGTGGTGCGGAATAATCACCCATCCTATGCTTGTTTCGATGAGAATGGTGCGGTACAGTCGCCCTTCTCATTAATCATGAAAATCTCAAGCCTGAAGTTTCGAGTGCTTAGCATTTTTAGCCTGAAGATCAAAATGAAAAATTTGTAAGAACCAAAAGTTCTAACGTTATATTCCTCTAGGAATACATATTATTACAAGTTCTTACGCATCTCATTTTTCTTTTAGAAAGAAAAGAAAATGGTGAACTTGGCAAAACTTAATTTTGCTGCCCTAGACATTATTGGGAAGAATTACCTTACCTGGGTACTGGATACCAAGATCCATCTGGAAGCAGGGAATCTTGAAGATACCATTAGGGAAGAAAACAGCTCATTCTCTGAAGATTGGGCGAAGACCATGTCTTTATTCGTCGCCATCTTGATGAGGGACTAAAAAACGAGTACTTAACGGTTGAAGATCCGTTAACTCTCTAGCATTGAGAAACAAATACAATAACCATGCAACGATGAATCTTCCAAGGGCTCGCTATGCATGGACTCACCTAATGATCCAGGATTTCAAGTCAGCGGCTGAGTACAATTCTGCGTTGTTTAGAATTACCTCTCAGATGAAGCTCTATGGGGATACCATTACCGAGGAAGATATGCTGGAAAAGACTTTCAGCACATTTCATGCCTCTAATGTGCTCCTGCAGCAGCAGTATAGAACGCGATGCTTCACTGAATACAACCAGCTGATATTTGTGCTCTTGGTAGCTGAACAAAGCAATGAGATCCTGATGAAAAATCATCAGTCCCGACCTACTGGATCTGCACCATTCTCAGAAGTGAATGTTGCTTCCCTCGAAGTGAACACCACATCCTCTGGTGGCGATAATCATAAACGAGGACGTGGCCATAAGCTAGGCTGGTGGAACAGGAAAGGCAAGAATCATGGTGGTCAGTTTCACAACCAGATTCCAAGGTAAAATTCAGGCCCGAGCTTTAAAAATGGAAATTGCCATAAAGGCAAAGCTCGTATAAACAATGCTCTTATAAACTCTGATGGAGCCTGTCATAGGTGTGGTGGCGATGGGCACTGGACGCGTACCTATCATACCCCAAAACATCTGATGGATCTATATCAAGCCTCACTCAAGGAGAAGAGTGTCAAGACTAATTTCCTCGACCAGGCTAGACTAATGGATATACCTGATCCAATGTTCGACTTATCAGGACAGTTGAACACAACCCACCTAAATGTCTCAGACTTCATTGTGGAAAGGGGGAATGAAGTGTATCGGTCTGATTGAATCATTTATATTTGATGTACTTTTATTATTCTGAACTTGCAGTTTAAAAACTCGCATTTCAATAAAAGAGGCATTTAACTTTCTAAGTTGTTTTTAACTGTGATCCCTTTTACTTAGAAAGTATGGATAAAAGTTATGGTTATTCTCAAAACATGAGAAATGGCAAAGATATTTGTCTTGCAAACAGCGCAACCACATATACAATACTTCGTGATCGAAAGTATTTCTCAAGCTTGATACTTACAAAAGTAAGGGTAACAACAATATTAGGTCAATCAGATATAATTGAAGGCTCAGGGAAAACCCAGATTATGTTACCAAATGGAACAATATTGTCTATACAAAATGCATGGTATGCTACTCGATCTACTCGAAATTTGTTGAGTATCAAAGACATACGTTTAAATGGATACCACATTGAAACGAAAAGTGCAGAAAATGTGGAGTATCTATACATTACCTCCAATGATACCCAGAAGCGTATATTGGAGAAGTTGCGTGGTTTGTCGAGTGGATTGTATTATACATACATAAGGACAATTGAATCATATGATGTCATGAACCAGAAGTTCATTGATTCAAAAGATTACATGCTTTGGCATGACCGTTTGGGTCATCCAGGATCCACCATGATACATATGATCATTACCAGCTCTAATGGACATCTATTATTGACCAGAGACATTGCTATCTCAAATGATAACCATTGCAAGGCTTGTTCTCAAGGGAAATTAGTAATTAGACGATCACAACTAAAGGTTGATGCTGAATCCCCATCATTTTTGCAAAGAATTCAAGGGGATATTTATGGATATCTTCAACCATCTTGTGGACCATTTCAATATTTTATGGTTTTGGTTGATGCATTTACCCGATGGTCACATGTTTGTCTCTTATCTACTCGGAATGTAGCTTTTGCGAGACTTCTTGCTCAGATAATCAAGTTGCGAACATAGTTCCCAGATTATCCTATTAAGTCAATTCGACTCGATAACACTGGTGAATTTACGTCTCAAACCTTTGATGATTACTGCATGACATTGGGCATTGATGTTGAACACCCTGTTCCTCATGTCCATACTCAAAATGGTTTAGCAGAAGCATTGATCAAGCAGCTTCAGTTAATAGCTCGCACTCTGCTCATGAAAACAAAATTGTCAGTTTCTGCATAGGGATATGCCATCTTACATGCTACATCATTGGTTTGATTGAGACCTATAGCCAACCATTAATACTTTTCACTATAACTCGTGTTTGAACATCAGCCAAACATTTCACATTTATGAGTTTTTGGTTGTACTATTTATGTGCCTATTGCACAGCCACAATGCACTAAAATGGGACCTCAGCGTAGATTGGGAATTTATGTGAGTTTGATTCATCATCTATCATTATATATTTGGAACCCCTGACAGGTGATATATTTACAGCTCGTTTTGCTAATTGTCACTTTGATGAGACAGTCTTCCCGTCGTTAGGAGGAGAAAAGATCGTTCCAGAAGAACAGCAAGAGCTGACATGGGTTGTACCTACCTTGTCTCATTTTGATTCACGTAACACTCAATGTGAAAATGAAGTGAAAATGATCGTTCATCTTCAAAGTATTGCCAATCAAATGCCAGATGCATTTAATGATGCTATGAAAGTGACAAAATCACATATACTAACTGCAAATGCACCTGCAAGAATTGATGTCCCTATTTGACAAAATAAAGTGGCAGCAAATGATTCATCTAGTGCACACCTGAAGCGTGGTAGACCCCTAGGTTCAAAAGATTCAGCCCCTCGAAAGAGAAAGACAAGGGCACATCTGAATCCAAATGAAATCATTCAGGAAAAGAAAGTGAATGAAAAATTTGCAATTCATGATTCTGTACTTCCAGAAAAAGAAAATGTCATTGATGAGACACATGTTCCTGAAGAGACAGCAGTACATGAAAGCAAAGAAATGTCCATAAATTATGCATGTACAAATGAATTGTGGGATTAGAATGAAATAATCATTGATGATATGTTTGCATTCACAGTAACCACTTAAATCATATTAAGTGATGATATTGAGCCTCGCTCTGTTGATGAATGCAAACAAAGACAATTGGCCTAAGTGAAAAGATGCAATCCAGGCAAAATTAAATTCCTTGGAAAGGCAGAGTGTTTTTGGACCGGTAGTCCAAACTCTGCCTGATGTAAATCCTGTGGGTTACAAATGGGTATTCACAAGAAAACGCAATGAGAAAAATAAGAATGCAAGATACAAAGCACGACTCGTTGCATAAGGCTTTTCACACAGACCTAGAATTGATTATAAGGAGACATATTCTCTTATAATGGATGCAACTACGTTCCGTTACTTAATAAGTTTAGTGGTTTCAGAAAAGCTTAACATGTGACTTATGGATGTCATCACTGCGTATTTATATGGAGAATTAGATACTGACATATACATGAAGGTCCCAAAAGGACTTAAGTTGCTTGAAACAACTAACAAACCACGAGGTATGCTCTCAATCAAATTAAGACGATCATTGTATGGGCTGAAACAATCTGGACGAATGTGGTATAATCGTCTCAGTGAATATTTGATCAAAGAAGAATATATCAACAATGTCATTTACCCTTGTGTGTTTATTCAGAAATCCAATTATGGATTTGCTATAATGGTAGTATATGTTAATGATATGAACCTAGTTAGAACTCTTGGAGAGCTCAATAAAACTGCTGAATATCTGAAAAGCAAATTTTAAATGAAAGACCTCGGGAAAACAAAATATTGTCTTGGCCTGCAGATCAAGCATTGTGCTAATGGAATTTTGGTCCACTAATCATCTTACATTGAAAAAATCCTAAAGCGATTTGGCATGAACAAGGCTTATCCACTCAGCACGCCAATGGTCGTTTATTCTTTGGACATTAAGAAAGATCCATTCCATCCAAAAGAAGATGATGAAATGGTCCTTGGTCCAGAAGTACCATATCTGAGTGCAATAGGTGCTTTATTGTACTTAGCGCAATGTACTAGACCACATATAGCTTTTTCAGTTAACTTGTTAGTAAGGTATAGCTCTGCTCCAACAATGCGTCATTGGAAAGGAGTCAAAGATGTTTTGTGATACCTTCGTGGGACAACAGACATGAGTCTCTTCTACTCAGGAAAATCCACAAATGACCAGATCCTTGCTGGATATACAGATGAAGGTTTCCTCTCTAATTCGTATAAAGCCCGCTTACAAACTGGATATGTGTTCACTAATGAAGATACATCAATCTCACGGCGCTCAACAAAGCAAACATTAGTTACTACATCTTCAAATCACTCATAAATACTTGCTTTACATGAAGCAAGTCGTGAATGTTCCTGGTTAAGATCAATGATCCATCATATCCGAAATTCATATGGTCTACCTTCGAAGACTGACAATTCAACTGTCATCCATGAAGATAATGCAGCATGTGTTGTCCAAATGAAGGAATGATTCATTAAGGGCGATAAGACTAAACACATATCGCCAAAGTTTTTCAGTGCACATGAGCTTCAGAAGGCTAAAGTTATTGAAATCAGACAAATCTGTTCCAATGAAAATCTGGCAGACCTGTTCACCAAGTCTCTACCAAAGTGCACGTTTTAGAAGTTAGTGCAGAGTATCAGATTACGTCGACTTACCAATCAGCTAAATTTGAAAAATGCGAAATCAGGGGAAGCATCCATGATACATGCTTGTTGTGTTCTTTTTCTTTCGACTAGGATTTTTCTCACAGGGTTTTTCATATCAAGATTTTAACAAGGCAACATAAGCATACTTAACACTATATCAACAATCCAAGTAAAGTTGTATTCTTTTTCCTTTGCTATGGTTTTTTCCCACTGGGTTTTTCCGAGCAAGGTTTTAACGAGGCAACTGATGTTGATATGTGGGTATCCAAGGGGGAGTGTTATAGAATTAGTGAGTGAATGCCCACTCAAAAGAATGCTCAAAGACTTAATGATTGTGAGTAATAGTGTTTGATACTTTCAAAAGTATCATCATTGTATTTTGATGGTTGTAGTTACGAGAGTCACTCTATAAATAGAGCATTCGATTTGTTATCAAATGCACTGCGAAAGAAAGCAAGAGAAATAATATCAATATCCCTCTCTCTCTTTATCTGCCATCCTTTTTTGTGTTATAGCTACTAAAGTTGTAGTGTGATATTTTGCACCTGCTTCGCTCCTGTCCTTAGAAAGGTTATCTCTCTAATTTTTGTCTATTTATAACAAATTAGAGATTTTTTTCATAACAAAATTAAAAATGGTATCGTACAAAAATCTCTCACTTGCTTAAAAAACGACGACCTCATAAAATGAAGGAGAATACAAATACGGCATCACTTATGTATACAACCCCATATAAGAGGAAAAATGTAAACGATTGTCTACGAAGAAGTATGACAAAAGTGGTAGTTAGCTTTTATTTTTTTAATTTTGTCGATGCCTTTTAAAGTAAAGCCACAGTTCTAAATAGGTCTATTAAGCTTAATTCTTTATGTCACGAAGTCAAAATCAAAGCCTACCATTTTAGGTCTCAATATGATTACTTCGAATTGCAAGACCTCATGAGAGTTGATTGCCATCTTCAATTGAATAGAGAGATTGAGATATTGAAAGACAGTAATGGAAAATGCTCTAAGTTTGGAGTATGCGATGCGGCCTAGAGTAAAGTTTATAGGCTAAAGCTGTATGGGCCTGGTTTTAACTTGGGCTATTCTTAGACCAAGTCAAAGTGGAGGCTAATTTTAAGTTGATATGTCGGAGACGGCCCAATATATTTTTGTAATTGCACTTATTCAATGAATGAAAATTCTACATTTTCAAACAATCAATTTTCATAATCATTCAGTACTACAGTCTGGTGGTATTCCTTTTTGCATATAAGTGAAATGTCTTAGGTACGAATCTTGTAGACGGTGAAGTCAAATTAAATTGTCTATTGTGTAATTTAGTTGAACTCCTCATTTCCTTTAGT